GGCGTGGGGGGGGGCCGTGGCTGTGTCCCCGCTCCCCTGGCCAGGACGCCACCTGATGCCCTCTCTTTGGTTTGCACCTTGCCAGGCTTTAACCAGGAGAGATCTGCGGGCAGCTCCACCATGTCGGATAGCGACCTCGGGGAGGACGACAGCGCCACATCCCCAGACCCCTCGCAGTCCAACAAGAGGAAGAGAAGGGGCAATCTCCCCAAGGAGTCCGTGAAGATCCTCCGGGACTGGCTGTATGAGCACCGCTTCAATGCCTACCCCTCCGAGCAGGAGAAGCTCAGCCTCTCGGGGCAGACCAGCCTCTCGGTGCTGCAGGTAGGAGCCAGTCCCCCACATGCTGGGGACACCACTGGGTCCTCTGTCACAGCGCATTGGGACAGGCCAGACTGGGAGAACCCCACCAAAGATCCCAAAGGACTTGGCACGCTGGAGCCACTTGCCTCCAAAGGGCAGCGAGGAGGCCAGGGAGGGAAGGGCAGGGAAGCAAAGCCCCCTGCATGTGGACAACCTCTTTCTGGGAAAGGTCTGAGCTCCAGGGATTGGTTTTATGGCAGTGCTGGAGTGGACCTTTTTGGCCAGCCAGAAGATGGAGGGACAGGGGTGGGGACAAACTGAGCAATACCCTGTTGTTAGTAAAAGCTGCCTCAGGTGGGAAGGTTTCAGGGGGCTGCTCTTCCCCTCCCCTGGGCACCCCCTAGCAAAGGGGCCGGGGCTATCCCCTGCATGCAGCACTGGGCAGGAGCCAGCCATCCTACGAGGGAGAGGCTGGGCTGGGCTGGGCTGGGCTTTGACCCCAGCTGGCTCATTAGCAGCACTCAGTACTGGCTGGCCCACCTGGCCCCAGTTACACCAGTTGTGTTAAGGGGAGCCCAGCCCAGGTGAGGGCTTCTGGGCAGGAGCCCCCCTGCCCCACTCCTGGGTGTGGGCTGATGCTCCTTGCAGTGCTGTGATGGGTGCCCAGCAGGAGCCCTGGCCAGCAGTGGGGGTCAGCAGTGCTTCTTCCAGCTTTGGCTCTCCCTCAGCCTGCTGCCATGGTGGCAGGCAGAGACCCTGCCTGCAGCTGCCTGTGGCTTTGATCTGTGCAAAGGCTGGCAGCCTCCAGGCGGGGGGGCCCTGTATGCCCAGTGCCCCGTCCCTTCTCTCCTAGCCTGGCAGGGTGGGAGATGGATGGGGGCTTCCCTCTGTTCTCTGGTCCTAGGGGCACAGTGAGGTGGGAAGCGGCTCTTGTGTGCAGGGGAGCAGGCAAGGGCTGGTGGGTTTGCAGCTGAGCTCCTCTCCTTGGGGCTTCCTCTGCACCTCTGGCTCTTTTTCCTGCGTCTCAGTGCAGTCCTGGCCAGCCAGCCTGGCCACGGCGCAGACACCACTGTGTGGGCAGTGCCTGTCTGGTTTCCCTCTTCCTGGCCAGCGAGGCAAACTCTCTTTTTTGTTTTCATCTATTTCTTTAGATGCTGGCTGCGCAACAGATTTGTGTCCAGGTGGCTGCTCCGAGGGGAGGCTGGTGACCCTGGGTGGGCTTGGGTCAGGGTGGTGGGGGGAGAAGCAATGGGTTTGGGGCTGTGTGAGTCTGGGCTCCTCCTGGACTGGGGTTGGCACGATGGTGCCTGGCATGCAGGGGTTTACCCCAGGGCTGGCGGCAGTGGGACCGGCAGATGCCCAGGGTTCTTTGGGACCCAGGAGGGTGTTGGCAGGCACTTGGCTGGTGTCGAGGTGTGGCCTTGCCGTGCTCTGGCTGTTGCCTGCCCCGTGGGACCCCCTGCAGCCAGCGTGTACCCAGTGAGGGGGCTGCCCCCCCCAGCCCAGTGGCATGTCCCTGGGCCAGCTGAGGGCTGTCACCGAGGTTGCTGTTGGTCTGAGGTGATGCAGCAGGGGGCTGTGGGGGCTGTTCCACCTGATGAGGAGAAGCCTATTGGGGTGGAGGTGTGGGACACCCTACAGCAAGGTTGGAGTGGCTGCGGGGTTTGATCTGTCAGTGCCGATCTGACCCCTCCAGGAGCCTCTCCAGTGTGGGGCTTCACTGCAGCCACTGGCTGAATGCCCCCGGTTGTTTATTTGTGCATCCCCCTGCCTGGTCCAGCAGCCTGGGGAGCTGAAGCCAGGCGCTGGCGGCCAGGGCTCAGGAGCGCAGCAACCCTGGGTCCCCAGGGAGACTGGGAAGCCATGTGTCTCCCTTGCAGAAAGTCGGGAGGTAAGGAAGTGGTGCCTGTTCCTGGCGAGGCTTCCCGGGCAGCAGCAGGTTTCCAAGCCCCTGCCCTCCTGTGGGGATGGGCTTTTGCTCCCTGCAGAGGGGATGCTGCTCTTGTGCCATTGGTGGGGACAGACGTCACCCAAAGTGATGGGCCAGTGTGTGCTGGTGGTGGGGCCAAGCGAATGCCATGTTTAAAAAAAAAAAAAAAAAAAAAAAAAAGCTGCTTGCTTCAAAGCCAGGGCATATCCCAGCTCCCTGGGTGGGTGATGCCATGCGGCGTCCTGCGGTGTCACCGATGGTTGTGTGTGCCTATCTCTGTGCTGGGTTCTCCAGAGGGAGTTGAATGCTGGAAGGAGTGTGGTGGTGGGGGGACTGCCAGGATTCTGGGGGGCTTCTCCGTGCTGTGGAGTTGTTGCTTTTTGTTGGGGGTCCAGCTCCTGGGTTGGGGATTACAGCGCTTGATGGCCATGGGATTGTGAGATCACATCACGGGGACCCAGCTAAGGCTTGCCAAGGGAGGGCGCTTGGAAGGGAAGAGGGGGCAAGACTGATGTGTTTGAGGGTGTTAAATGCCAAATATTGTCTTAAAGACAAAAAAAGGACAACTGAGCCCTTGCTGCGATCGAAGTTGTGGCAAGTTCTGTCTCCCTGGGGGCAGTGTTTTACGTAGCTGTTGACTTAGGAAAGATCAGTCATTTTTTTTCCCCCCCGATTTATTCTCTTCTAATTGTTTTCTAGGAAGAAGGCAGTTATTTTAATGTAGCGTTTTCTATAAAGATGCTGAAACAATACATGGCTGGGACTGAATCCATGGCCGCTGTGGTTCTGAAGGGCTTCCAGAGGTGTAGGCGCAGAGTTCTGCCTCTGCAGTGCGCGGATGTTTGGAAGAGCCTGGGAAGTCAGCCGTGACCTTGCCTGTTGGAGTGGGAAGGTGTCAGTGTGCTGCCGCAGTCCCTGCTGCCCGGGTAGGGGATGGGGCCTGCGGCTCTGTGAGCTGGTGGTTTTAGGGTTTTCCATCCATGCTTCTGTCCTGCTGTCTGTCTGCTCCAGGCAGCTCCAGTGCTCCCATCCAGGGCAGCAGCACGTTGGCACTGGCAGCAGCGTGGGAAGCATGGCCAGGCATGCTGACCTCTGGGGTGGGTTGCCTGGGGAAGGGAAAACTGCCCCCAGACTGGGGACCTGCTGGAGGCCGTGGGGCTCTGAGCTGGCTCTGCGTGATGCCATGGCCTCTGGTTGGGGGGATGGCAGGAGTCCCCGGGAGGGTGCTGAGAGCTGCACCCTGCTTTACCTGTGTGTGTGGCTGGGCGCAGTCAGTTGCTGGGACTTGGGGGCTGCAGTGGGTGACACAGTGCTGAGTCCGTCCTTCCCGGGGGAGCTGCTGCAGCTCCAGTGGCTCTGTGCAGCCTTTCTCTGGCTCTTGGGACAGCTCGGCCCCAAAGCTGCCCAGGCTCTGGTGGTTCATGTGCTGCGTGGTGAGCCCGTGCCGGCAGTGCCATGGAGGGCTGGCACCCGTACGTGGTCGCTGCCAGGGTGGGCTGGCAGGGCCGAATGGGAGCGTTGTACCGCAGGCAGCAAGGACAAGGGTGCCGGGAGGAAGGGGCTGCCCCAGGCAGGTGGTGCCAGGCAGGAAGCAGCTGGTGTTGGGGTTTCCGTGGGTGGCTGGGCAAGCCCTGCCAGGAGTAGCTTGGCCTCTCCAGAGCCCCATGGGAAGGAGGAGCAGGGCTGTGGGGGGAGACCTGTGGTAGCTGGGGCATGTGGGAGCTGCTTGCTGGGTCTGGGGGGGCTCCTGCTGGCTTGGCTTCGGGCTGCTGCCCCCCGGCTGGTGCTGTGCCTGTGTGGCAGCCCCGGGCTGATAGCACTGCACCCCTCTCTCCTCCCAGATCTGCAACTGGTTCATCAATGCCAGGAGGCGGCTGCTCCCTGACATGCTGCGCAAGGATGGGAAGGACCCCAACCAGTTCACTATCTCCCGCCGAGGGGGCAAAGCTGGTGACATGGCCCTGCCACGGGGGGCTACTGCCAGCTCCGGGGTGCTGGTGGTCCCTCCTGTGACGGCCGCAGGGGCCTCCAAGGTGCTCTCAATGTCGGTGTGCCCGCAGGTACTGTGCCACCCCGCCCAGGCACTGGGCAGCAACCTGACAGTGGCGAGCACCCACAGTCCTGAGCGGGAGAAGCCCCCCGGCCCTCAGCGAGTGGAGCCAGACCCTGCCCCCAAAGTGCCGCTGGGTGCCGCTGGCAGCACCACGGCCCTGCTGGCCCCAGGCG